CTCTTTCTCATCTATTCTATCTTCTATTCTATCTAATCTATCTATCTATCTAAATCTAAGCCCTCTATCTAATGCTCTATCTTTTCTCCTGCCCCGCGGTGCTGATTTATATGTAGCCATTAACGTCTGAAAATGATGTGCAATATGGCGCGAAGACGCGTAAAATGCGCGTAAACACATTCGCACGCAAATGCGTCGTCGTCATCGTAGCAGTAGCAGGATTAGAGAAAACGAAATATTTTAATAAATCATAATTTTATTATTCGGAAGAGAAGATATACCGTAAAACCGTATAATGACACAGATTAATAAAACGCATTCGGGTATAGCACGTTGCACTATTAGAGTTTTATGAACTCATCGTTTTGACTAGACGTTTTAGCGTCAGGCTAGTAGCCTGACGGTTACGTTATTACAGTACACGCTCACTCCTCGGATGTATAAATTTAGCGAGAGCTTCTTATAAAACGTTCGTTCTGATTACTTAATGTCTGGCAATAGCACGCGCGACACACACGTACACGCACGCGCGCATACACACACACGTACGCGCACACACCACACACTGACACACACCACACACACACACCACACACGCACACGGCACACGCACACACCACACGCACACGCACGAACACAGACACAGACACACGGACCCACCACACACACACACACACACACACACACACACACAGCACACACACACACACACACACATCACACACACACGCACACAAACAAACAGCGCGTGTCGCCACACATATATCATAGCGCGGCCGCTTCATTTCCCTAACGACGCGTCCGTCTACCCATCCGTCCTCGCAAACGCATCTATCTCCCTCATCGCCCGCTGCTGCCGCGGCGCCGCTGCCGGATTTACCGCCGTTTGTTCTACAACGACGTTACGGCCCAATATATGAAATGAGAGGGCAGCTCCAGGGCCGAGCCACTCATTTACACTTAGCGTTCGTCTGCTGCGTTATATGCCCTCACGGCAGCAACCTTGCTGATGTGAATGTCGGGCATGAATGCAAATCGGGTAGTTTTTTATACTATGCTGATTTGTTAAATGTGGGGGCTTTATGAATGCAAATCCGATAGTTTTCAACTTTGTGACGGTACATGTGGGGCGATGGATGTCAAAATCGCTCATCGCTCTTTTCCTGGTTGTATGTTTACATTGTGTTGGGGTGATGCGTTGCTAAATCCGGTTGTTTTTAACTTGTTGATGCTTAATGTTGCGGGGATGGATGCAAATCGGTTGTTTTCAACTTGTGATGTTACATGTGGGGGATGAATGCAAATCGGTAGTTTTCAACTTGTGGCGTTACATGTGGGGGATGGGTGCAAATCGGTTGTTTTTAACTGTGATGTTACATGTGGGGAATGGATTGAAATCGGTTTCTTTCAACTGGTGATGTTATATGTGTGGGATGAATGCAAATCGGTTGTTTTCAACTTGTGATGTTACATGTGGGAGATGGATGGAAATCGGGTTGTTTTCAACTGTGATGTTACATGTGGGGGATGGATTGCAAATCGGTTGTTTTCAACTTGTGATGTTTACATGGTGTGGGAGATGGATGTCCAAATCGCGTAGTTTAACTTGTGATGTATACATATGTGGCGGAAATAGGATGCAAATCGGTCTGGTTGCAACTTGTGATGTTTACTATTGGGCGGTGTGGATGGAAAGCTGTTGTTTTTCAACTTGTGACGGTTACATGTGGCGATGGATGCCAAATCCGGTCTGTTTTCAGTTCGGTCTGGTGGCGATACATGAAAGCGCTGGTTTGGTTCATGAATATGCCCGCCGTAGGATCTTTTGCAGTCGCGCGAAGTCGGGGATATATTCGTGGTTTGTATATGGCGTAGGTGCTACTTCTGAACGCGTGGGGAAGACTTGAGGATCAGCGAAAAAAAGCGGCGCAAACACACGCACGCGCGCTTCGTAAACAGACGTACTCCAGCACGCACGCAAAGCACGCGCGCACGCGTGGGCCCAACGCGACAGCGAAAATGGAAGCGCGCACTGAACGAAACCGCCGCCACCGCCCAGCGCACCGCTAGAGAACATGCACGACCGCGTGTATAGACGTGGACACACGCACGCTTCGAGCGCCACCTCGGCGGCGGCATGCCTTGGTTTTATCTTCTCGCGCGCGACGCCTGCCGCCTCCGAACGTTCGAGCGCAGGCCGAAAGCTATATACGAATTCTCTCGAAAGGGGTAGCGGCGCGCGCTTCGTTTAACCGCGGCCAGCAGCTCACAAATTGACGTATTTATAAACGCTTTTCGTCCGATCATTCGCGCAATCACAACGCCGCATTCTCGCCCCTCGGAGAATACCGTACGGATAGCGAGCCCAGCCTGAATTATATATGTGGTGCGTGGTGTGATCCAGCCGGCGCAATCGCTACTGCGCAACATGACCGAAAGCGCAGCAATATTCATGAACCACGTGCGACAAAACACGAGCTATCATACATGTTTAGGCGAATGGAAGCAGTCATATTGTAAGAGCAGACAATATGTAAGAAGCAGCAAATTATTGTGGAATCAGCCAGTTATTTTAAGAAATCAAGAAATTGTACGAATGCATCAAGCTATTGTATAGGAAGGACTCACGCTACTGTATGAACAGCCGTTATTGTAGGAAGCACCATCTATTTAAATAGTAATATATAATATATATATTGCCTTAGTATATAAATTAGCCGCTGACATATAGTTTATAGCGACAAATGAAGTAAGACTTTGACGAAAATGCTGCCCACACTGTATAGAAAACTTATATCGGAAGAAAAATTTATTGCTCCTGCCACACAGACACCGTGTTCAAATATAGACACTCACTTCCGAACTGCGCGTGTAAAGTAAGCTC